ATTATCTGGGAGAGGAAATTCTTCAGGAGTCAGAGAAGGAAAAAGACTTGGGGGTTGATATCACGCCAGACCTGTCTCCTGCAGCACATATCAAGCGGATAACATCAGCGGCATATGCCAGGCTGGCCAACATACGATCGGCATTCAGAAACTTGTGTAAAGAATCATTCAGAACTTTGTATACCACATATGTCAGGCCAATCCTGGAGTATGCAGCTCCAGCATGGAGTCCATATCTAGTCAAGGATAAGACTAAACTGGAAAAGGTTCAAAGGTTTGCCACCAGACTAGTACCCGAGCTGAGAGGTATGAGCTACGAGGAGAGACTACGGGAATTAAACCTCACTTCGCTGGAAGACACAAGAGTTAGGGGGGACATGATCACAACATTCAAGATTCTGAAGGGAATTGATAGGGTAGATAAAGACAGGCTATTGAACACAAGGGGCACACTCACTAGGGGACACAGGTGGAAACTGAGTGCCCAAATGAGCCACAGAGATATTAGAAAGAACTTTTTTAGTGTCAGAGTGGTTGACAAATGGAATGCATAAGGGAGTGATGTGGTGGAGGCTGACTCCATACACAGTTTCAAGTGTAGATATGATAGAGCCCAATAGGCTCACGAATCTGTACACCTGTTGATTGACGGTTGAGAGGCGGGACCAAAGAGCCAGAGCTCAACCCCCGCAAACACAACTAGGTGAGTACAACTAGGTGAGTACATCCCGCCCACACTGCTCCTGTCACACATCCCCACACACTGCACCTGTCACACACCCCCACACACTGCTCCTGTCACACACCCCCACACACTGCTCCTGTCACACACTCCCACACACTGCTCCTGTCACACACCCCCACACACTGCTCCTGTCACACACCCCCACACACTGCTCCTGTCACACACCCCCACACACTGCTCCTGTCACACACCCCCACACACTGCTCCTGTCACACACCCCCCCCCCACACTGCTCCTGTCACACACCCCCACACACTGCTCCTGTCACACACCCCCACACACTGCACCTGTCACACACCCCCACACACTGCACCTGTCACACACCCCCACACACTGCACCTGTCACACACCCCCACACACTGCTCCAGTCACACACCCCCACACACTGCTCCAGTCACACACCCCCACACACTGCTCCTGTCACACACCCCCACACGCTGCTCCTGTCACACACCCCTACACGCTGCTCCTGTCACACACCCCCACACACTGCTCCTGTCACACACCCCCACACACTGCTCCTGTCACACACACCCACACACTGCTCCTGTCACACACACCCACACACTGCACCTGTCACACACCCCCACACACTGCACCTGTCACACACCCCCACACACTGCACCTGTCACACACCCCCACACACTGCACCTGTCACACACCCCCACACACTGCTCCTGTCACACACCCCCACACACTGCTCCTGTCACACACCCCCACACACTGCTCCTGTCACACACCCCCACACACTGCTCCTGTCACACACACCCACACACTGCTCCTGTCACACACACCCACACACTGCACCTGTCACACACCCCCACACACTGCACCTGTCACACACCCCCACACACTGCTCCTGTCACTCACACCCACACACTGCTCCTGTCACACACACCCACACACTGCTCCTGTCACACACCCCCACACACTGCACCTGTCACACACCCCCACACACTGCACCTGTCACACACCCCCACACACTGCACCTGTCACACACCCCCACACACTGCACCTGTCACACACCCCACACACTGCTCCAGTCACACACCCCCACACACTGCTCCTGTCACACACCCCCACACACTGCTCCTGTCACACACCCCTACACACTGCTCCTGTCACACACCCCCACACACTGCTCCTGTCACACCCCCCACACACTGCTCCTGTCACACACCCCCACACACTGCTCCTGTCCTCCCCCACACTGCTTCTGTCACACCCCCCCCCCACTGCTCCTGTCACCCCCCCTGTCGGAAAATCCGACACCATTTTATATCATACAGATAATAGCTGTATTGTATAAACAAGTTAACCCATAGAAAACGTAACTTGTAGTGGAATTACCGTCTATAGAAAACGGGATATCATCACCACATACTATTATATTCTCCACCTATTATGGTGGGAATTATTCTTAAATACATTAGTCTTTGGACTTTACCATCATAAAAACATCTTATATAAATTAACTTAATTATCAATATTAAAGTAGAGTAAATGTGACCCTTCTATCACTTTCTGAAATCTGGACAATGTAAGCCAGGCGTCAGTGAGGAAGGAGGGCAGCCATTGTTTATACTAGACCAGAGGCTCACGGGAGCAAATTCGGCTCCTGTTAATTTTACTTGGACGTAGTGTTATGGAAACCAAGGGTGTACCATTTTCAACACGCTGTCAACAAATCAAGTTAAGTGTTCTTTCCGAAACCCAGTATCTTTCATTTATGGCCATTAATGTCATTATATAGGGTGGACCGGTTAGAGCACGTGGAAGCCTCAAACTAAAGGTAATTAAGCCAGGTCTTCAATGTTCCATGTACAGTATTTTCTCTGATATAGCTTGTCATATATAGGTATCTGGCTTCACAGTTAGCGCCCTTTTGACAGGTCAAGACGAGGAAGCAAGACTTTGTGCACCAGTTACTGGGTGATGGAAGCTACCTCAAAGAGGATAATTTGGTGTCTACACCCTAGTCCACCCTGGTGGACTAACCTGCTGTACTATAAGATAAGGAACCTTTTCAATGTATGTAGTCTATTCCTGTAGTTTGATTGGCTGCATATATTAATTTAATAAACCCCCCTAATGTGTAGAGGATCGATTTGTGAGATTATGAGATTATTGCAGAAATACAGTCCACTTAACATTATACAAATTGCTATCGAAGTATATAAATTAACGTAAATATAAATTCATATAAATTAAATAAATATAAATCTCACAGGTCGGTTCCCACACCCCCACACTGCTCCTGTCACCCCCCCCCCTCACTGCTGCATCACCCCCACCCCACACTGCTCCTGTCCCCCCACATTGCTCCAGTCTCACACACTCCCACACTGCTCCTGTCACACACACACACAGGCACACACACACACACACACACACACACACACACACACACACACTGCTCCTGTCACACACACACACACCCCCCACACTGCTCCTGTCACACACCCCCACACTGCTCATGTCACAGTTTAATAATGATTACATAGAGCCTATTGCCTCGTAATTTGTGGGTAACGAGGCTGTAAAAAGCATCCCTGAGTTTGGTCATCATTAATATGTACACAAATCCTGCATTTGTGAAGCCAATTTTGATATAATAATTTTAAGTTAATACCAGTTAATGATTCATATGCAAATTAAATGAATATTTATGTCTGCTGTAATAAAAACTGTATTTCCAGTGATATAATTTATTATGCTGAGAGGTGAGGCGTGGGTCTGATGCTGAGAGGTGAGGCGTGGGTCTGATGCTGAGAGGTGAGGTGAGGCGTGGGTCTGATGCTGAGAGGTGAGGTGAGGCGTGGGTCTGATGCTGAGAGGTGAGGCGTGGGTCTGATGCTGAGAGGTGAGGTGTGGGTCTGATGCTGAGAGGTGAGGTGAGGCGTGGGTCTGATGCTGAGAGGTGAGGTGAGGCGTGGGTCTGATGCTGAGAGGTGAGGTGAGGTGTGGGTCTGATGCTGAGAGGTGAGGCGTGGGTCTGATGCTGAGAGGTGAGGTGAGGCGTGGGTCTGATGCTGAGAGGTGAGGCGTGGGTCTGATGCTGAGAGGTGAGGCGTGGGTCTGATGCTGAGAGGTGAGGTGAGGTGTGGGTCTGATGCTGAGAGGTGAGGCGTGGGTCTGATGCTGAGAGGTGAGGTGAGGTGTGGGTCTGATGCTGAGAGGTGAGGCGTGAGTCTGATGCTGAGAGGTGAGGTGAGGCGTGAGTCTGATGCTGAGAGGTGAGGCGTGGGTCTGATGCTGAGAGGTGAGGCGTGGGTCTGATGCTGAGAGGTGAGGCGTGGGTCTGATGCTGAGAGGTGAGGTGAGGTGTGGGTCTGATGCTGAGAGGTGAGGCGTGGGTCTGATGCTGAGAGGTGAGGCGTGGGTCTGATGCTGAGAGGTGAGGCGTGGGTCTGATGCTGAGAGGTGAGGTGTGGGTCTGATGCTGAGAGGTGAGGTGAGGCGTGGGTCTGATGCTGAGAGGTGAGGTGTGGGTCTGATGCTGAGAGGTGAGGTGAGGGTCTGATGCTGAGAGGTGATGTGAGGGTCTGATGCTGAGAGGTGAGGCGTGGGTCTGATGCTGAGAGGTGAGGCGTGGGTCTGATGCTGAGAGGTGAGGCGTGGGTCTGATGCTGAGAGGTGAGGCGTGGGTCTGATGCTGAGAGGTGAGGCGTGGGTCTGATGCTGAGAGGTGAGGCGTGAGTCTGATGCTGAGAGGTGAGGTGAGGCGTGGGTCTAATGCTGAGAGGTGAGGCGTGAGTCTGATGCTGAGAGGTGAGGTGAGGCGTGGGTCTAATGCTGAGAGGTGAGGCGTGAGTCTGATGCTGAGAGGTGAGGTGAGGCGTGGGTCTGATGCTGAGAGGTGAGGCGTGGGTCTGATGCTGAGAGGTGAGGTGAGGCGTGGGTCTGATGCTGAGAGGTGAGGCGAGGTGTGGGTCTGATGCTGAGAGGTGAGGCGTGGGTCTGATGCTGAGAGGTGAGGCGTGGGTCTGATGCTGAGAGGTGAGGCGTGGGTCTGATGCTGAGAGGTGAGGTGAGGCGTTGGTCTGATGCTGAGAGGTGAGGTGAGGTGAGGTGTGGGTCTGATGCTGAGAGGTGAGGCGTGGGTCTGATGCTGAGAGGTGAGGTGAGGGTCTGATGCTGAGAGGTGAGGTGAGGTGTGGGTCTAATGCTGAGAGGTGAGGCGAGGTGTGGGTCTGATGCTGAGAGGTGAGGTGAGGTGTGGGTCTAATGCTGAGAGGTGAGGCGAGGTGTGGGTCTAATGCTGAGAGGTGAGGTGAGGTGTGGGTCTAATGCTGAGAGGTGAGGCGAGGTGTGGGTCTAATGCTGAGAGGTGAGGCGTGGGTCTGATGCTGAGAGGTGTGGCGTGGGTCTGATGCTGAGAGGTGAAGTGAGGCGTGGGTCTGATGCTGAGAGGTGTGGCGTGGGTCTGATGCTGAGAGGTGAGGTGTGGCGTGGGTCTGATGCTGAGAGGTGAGGTGTGGCGTGGGTCTGATGCTGAGAGGTAAGGTGTGGCGTGGGTCTGATGCTGAGAGGTGTGGCGTGGGTCTGATGCTGAGAGGTGTGGCGTGGGTCTGATGCTGAGAGGTGTGGCGTGGGTCTGATGCTGAGAGGTGAGGTGTGGCGTGGGTCTGATGCTGAGAGGTGAGGCGTGGGTCTGATGCTGATAGGTGTGGCGTGGGTCTGATGCTGAGATTTGAGGTGAGGCGTGGGTCTGATGCTGAGAGGTGAGGTGAGGCGTGGGTCTGATGCTGAGAGGTGAGGTGAGGCGTGGGTCTGATGCTGAGAGGTGTGGCGTGGGTCTGATGCTGAGAGGTGAGGTGTGGCGTGGGTCTGACGCTGAGAGGTGAGGTGTGGCGTGGGTCTGATGCTGTGAGGTGAGGTGTGGCGTGGGTCTGATGCTGAGAGGTGAGGTGTGGCGTGGGTCTGATGCTGAGAGGTGAGGTGTGGCGTGGGTCTGATGCTGTGAGGTGAGGTGTGGCGTGGGTCTGATGCTGAGAGGTGAGGTGTGGCGTGGGTCTGATGCTGTGAGGTGAGGTGTGGCGTGGGTCTGATGCTGAGAGGTGAGGTGTGGCGTGGGTCTGATGCTGAGAGGTGAGGTGTGGCTTGGTTTGATGCTGAGAGGTGAGGTGTGGCGTGGGTCTGATGCTGAGAGGTGAGGTGTGGCGTGGGTCTGATGCTGTGAGGTGAGGTGTGGCGTGGGTCTGATGCTGAGAGGTGAGGTGTGGCGTGGGTCTGATGCTGAGAGGTGAGGTGTGGCGTGGGTCTGATGCTGTGAGGTGAGGTGTGGCGTGGGTCTGATGCTGAGAGGTGAGGTGTGGCGTGGGTCTGATGCTGAGAGGTGAGGTGAGGCATGTGTCTGATGCTGAGAGGTGAGGTGAGGCGTGTGTCTGATGCTGAGAGGTGAGGTGAGGCGTTGGTCTGATGCTGAGAGGTGAGGCGTGGCGTGGGTCTGATGCTGAGACGTGAGGTGAGGCGTGTGTCTGATGCTGAGAGGTGAGGTGAGGCATGTGTCTGATGCTGAGAGGTGAGGTGAGGCGTTGGTCTGATGCTGAGAGGTGAGGCGTGGCGTGGGTCTGATCCTGAGAGGTGAGGTGAGGCGTGTGTCTGATGCTGAGAGGTGAGGTGAGGCGTGTGTCTGATGCTGAGAGGTGAGGTGTGGCGTGGGTCTGACGCTGAGAGGTGAGGTGTGGCGTGGGTCTGATGCTGTGAGGTGAGGTGTGGCGTGGGTCTGATGCTGAGAGGTGAGGTGTGGCGTGGGTCTGATGCTGAGAGGTGAGGCGTGGCGTGGGTCTGATGCTGAGAGGTGAGGCGTGGCGTGGGTCTGATCCTGAGAGGTGAGGTGTGGCGTGGGTCTGACTAAGAGAGGTGGTCTAGAGGACGCCAGCTCAATAATCATTGGTTGTGTTGGGTTACCTAGTCTACCCTACCTCGTCTGAGTGTACCTACTCTACCTCGTCTGAGTATACCTACTCTACCTCGTCTGAGTGTACCTACTCTACCTCGTCTGAGTATACCTACTCTACCTCGTCTGAGTGTACCTACTCTACGTAAGTGTGTGTATACATGCAGCTAGAAGCAGGGGTGAACCTCTCACTGTATATATATACCTGTTCTCGCCTTGCTAGAGCGAGAATTGTAATTACTATATTAATCTTATTTAGGCCCACAATAAACTATTTAATCCATTGAAATTGTGGATTGTTACTTAATAAAGATTTGAGATAAATCTGAAATAAGAGGCGAGTACTCAAGCGGTATTTTAGAATAGTGTTCATAGAATGTTACAAGACTGAGCGGCGCCACTTCCCATGCTGAGCGGCGCCACTCTCCTGAGCGGCGGCACCTGTGTCGAGTGTGGGCGGCCGCGCCGGGTGTGGGCGGCCGCGACGGCGTCGGGTGTGGGCGGCCGCGGCGGCGTCGGGTGTGGGAGGCTGCGGCGGCGTCGGGTGTGGGCGGCCGCGGCGGCGTCGGGTGTGGGCGGCCGCGGCGGCGGCGTCGGGTGTGGGCGGCCGCGGCGGCGGCGTCGGGTGTGGGCGGCCGCGGCGGCGGCGTCGGGTGTGGGCGGCCGCGGCGGCGTCGGGTGTGGGCGACCGCGGCGGCGTCGGGTGTGGGCGACCGCGGCGGCGTCGGGTGTGGGCGACCGCGGCGGCGTCGGGTGTGGGCGACCGCGGCGGCGTCGGGTGTGGGCGGCCGCGGCGGCGTTGGGTGTGGGCGGCCGCGGCGTCAGGTGTGGGAGGAATTACATATTCCCACAGCCACAGTGACTACCGCAGCTGTCATGAATGAGAAGCCTTACCTCACAACCCTCCCTGCTAATGGTGATAATTGTACCATTACACACCACCATCATCAATACCATTACGAGACGACATTCATATATGGGACTAATAGAGCAAGAACCCGGCAATGTGATGCCGGGTTCCTGAATACGCCTGGGATATAGACGTATCTGGCACCTCTCTTAAATCCCAAGTGTCGGAATACACCATGTGTCACCTTTGTGAAGGTGTCGGAATACACCGTGTGTCAACTTTGTGAAGGTGTCGGAATACACCATGTGTCAACTTTGTGAAGGTGTCGGAATACACCATGTGTCAACTTTGTGAAGGTGTCGGAATACACCATGTGTCAACTTTGTGAAGGTGTCGGAATACACCGTGTGTCAACTTTGTGAAGGTGTCGGAATACACCAAGTGCATTGTTGATTATTGACCAACATTGAGTTGGGCGCTTTAGAGAGATCAATCGCAAAAATAAAAGTTGACTATTCAATTGTAATCTCTTGCTTATTCCTTTCTAGGGCACGTCGTGAACGATCTGGTAGAAATTATGTCAGTTGAAGACGAAAGTTAGAAGCGAAGAGGACTGCAGGAGACAAGGTGTAACAGCGGGGGTCGAACAGGTGGCGGTTTAACGTTAACACTGAGAGTGCAAAGTAATGACAGTTGGTACTGGAGTAAGGCAAGACCCCCCAGCACGGGTTCGAAGGTTAGCAGCTCCCAGAAATAATGCCAGAAAAATATCTCCAGAGTATATATATATAAAATCAAACCTACACAAGATTAGCTCCTGAAAATGCATCGTTGGCAAGGAGGTTTTAATAGAGAGAAAACACGCTTCCATAATGACCGTCCTACTGTGGGAACTGACTTTTTATTATTATTATTATTATTATTATTATTATTATTTTATTATTATTATTATTATTATTATTATTTTCTACCACAGACGTGGCCACACATTACAATGCTAACCACCATATTACATTTTCTTCTGTCCTCCATGGACAGGGTTAGAGAAGTGTTAAACATATAGATCAGGGGTTTATTGAACACTCAACCACAGAAGGTGATTCGGTGCTTTTAAAATGCTAAGCTAACCTACATATGTAACTGACTGACAGCCAGAGGGGCCCGAGAGCGCCCACAGCCAGAGGGGCCCGAGAGCGCCCACAGCCAGAGGGGCCCGAGAGCGCCCACAGCCAGAGGCCCGAGAGCGCTCACTCACCTCGCCTGGAAGAAAGGCTAATCAGAGAGTATTTTTCCCTGGATAGTCCTGCCTGGGCCCTCTAAGCCTCTTGCTGGCTCATTGTCACTCATTCCTGTCTTACCCTGGCGATGGAGGAGTGTTTATGAGGCGTATGTTGGGCCTCAGCGCTGTAATGCCCAATGTGTTTAACTCGGGGGATGTGATAACGAACAAGATATGCAGCCCAGCCTCCCGTGAAGGCACTATTTACAGTAACAACGAGGACCATCCTACATATATTGACGTAAAAGGCAATTAGAATGTAGAACTTGGTATTCTTGAACGTGGACAAACTGTTTAAGGTTTAGTACTGATGTTGCAAAGAAAACTTATCCTAACCTTCCAAGGCCTAATTCACGCTAAGGCCCAACATAGTACATATATATGTGCTACAGTAGGCCTAGAAATATTTAAATTTGGTTTTTAACTTCATTTTTTTGTACTGCAAAGCAGAGTCCCAAATTACACTTAATTGTCCATTACATCTATGTACGATGGTACACATTCTTACAAGGAGGTGTTAGCAGCATTAATTAGGCAGCATTAACAGGATAGACAAAGTGACAGGACTAGAGGACACGTGTGCAGGCTGGAGACATAACCATCTGGAATTGTGGGGGTTGGGAGCTATTGCTCTTCCCAGAAATTATAGACGAGAGAGAACTCTCACTCACTCTCTCATCTCTCTCCCCCCTTTCTCTCATCTCCCCCCCCCTTTCTCTATCATCTCTCTTCTCCCCCTTTCTCTATCATCTCTCCCCCCTCTCTCTCATCTGTCTCTTTCTCCCCCCCCCCCTTCTCTCTATCCCCCCCTCAATCTCTCTCATAGGGGAAAAACATGACAGGGAGAGTTACTCAGGAAGCAACAGCAGGAAGACAAACATGGTTGGGACAAACTCGGAGGATGGAGAGGAACAGAAGCCTGGATTATGGGAGCAATCCAGCAAGTGTGAGATGAATTCGGTGAAGGATTGAGGGGTAATAAGGGTGACACTAACCAACCTGCAGGATGAACTAAGGGCAGCAAAAGAGGAGATAAGAAGCCTGAAGGAGACTCCTCCCCAAAACCAGACACAAACCATCCCTCAGGGAGATGGCGATGCTACTGTTGAGGGGACTTCTACAAAACAGCCCTCATTTGCAGAATTGTTCAACAAGAGCCCTGAAGCTAGGTCTGCAGTTAGGGAAGTTGCCATGGAAGTGGCTTCCTCTCAGGAAGCAGCTAGATGTACTAGCCAGCTGATAGAGTGGAAAAGAGCAGTAGTAATAGTAGGCATTAAGGAACAAACAGGGACCAGTCCAGTGGAAAGGAGACACAAGGACAAAAATGAATTTAATGAGATCCTTAAAGGGGTAAAGATGGAGAGCGCTGACCAAAATACTGACAAGGTTTTCAGGATCGGACGGTGCAACAAGGACAGAGACCGACTGATAAAGGTGATATTCACGAGCAAGAGAACAAAAGAGGACTTGTTAGCAAGGAAGAGTGGACTAGCAAACGTACTGAAGTTCAAAAAAATAATTCCTGCAGAGGGATATGACAAGGGACGAGAGAACGAGGGCAACAGCCGTGAGGAGGGAGTGCAGGGAGAGAGAAAGGAATCAGGGAGCCACAACCCCGAGCCCTAGAGGGGAGTGGAGAACCCTCCACAAGCAGCTTAACACAGTGAGAGAAGCACCTCCCCCATACTCCACCCAATAGATGCCCTACCTGCCCCAACCCCTGGTGTCCACCTTGGGCACCTCCGCCCACTCCCCCCTCCCCAGAATCTCCCTTCTCCCCCACCCTCAAGCCCTCCATTCTCCCCCACCCCCTAAACTCTCCAGTATGTCCCACCCCCCTGAGCCCTCCCTTCTCCCCCACTCTCCTAAGCCCTCCCTTCTCCCCCACTCTCCTAAGCCCTCCCTTCTTCCTTAACCCCCTCAGCACTCCCTTTCCCCCAACCTCTCTCTCCCAGGCGCCCTGCTTCCTTTTACGCCACCCCAAGCCCCCCATTCCCTCCCCCCCACCATCCCCCCCAAATCCTCCCTCCTCCCATACCTCCCATACCTCCCAAGCCTCCCCCTATCACTCACCCCCAAGCCTCCCATGCCTCCCCACTCCCCAAGCCCTCGTTTCTCTCCAACCCCCTCAAGCCCTCTCTCCACCACCCTCCCCATACCAGATCCTCCCAGCCCCAGCACACCCCAGATACCCTAGGTCCCCCTTCATAGGCCCTCTCATCCCGGTCCCTACCTGTTTCCCTGCTTCAGGGGAAGCAATGGGATCTGATAAAGGGCAGAAGAGTCAGTTTCAGGGTGATGTACTCAAACATAGATGGGATCTCAAGCAAGGCAAGTGAACTAAGGAAAAGAGCACAAGTAGTGAACCCAGATGTAATCGGCCTCACAGAAACAAAACTCTCAGGAATCATAACGAATGCGGTGATTCCCCAGGACTTCACTGTAATAAGGGGAGGACGTGGAGTGGCCCTACTAATGAGAAAGGAATGGAGTTTCAAGGAGATAGTCATCCCGGGCTGCGAGGGATTCAGACACTACATAACAGGCACCATGACAATGGGATGGCCAAAAGTAGTAGTAGCAGTGATATATAACCCTCCACCAAATGACAGACGACCCAGGCAAGAGTATGACAACAACAACATGGCAGTTAACACTATAGTTGAGAAGGCAGCCTCTGCTGCCTGTAGAAATAGATCCCATCTGCTCATCATGAGGGGACTTCAATCATGGAAGGATAGACTGGGAGAACAAGGAACCGCATGGAGGAGAGGATATATGGAGAGCCAAACTAATGGAGGTGACAAGAAACTTTCTAAGCCAGCGATGAACGATGAACCAGCGAGAGACTATCTAGTCTTCACTCTGAACGACTCTGACATAAGGAAAATCGGTTTTGAGGCGCCAGTAGGAATGAGCGACCACAATACACTGGTGCTTGAGTATCTAGTTGATGAGGGGTTATTGTATTCGAGGAGGGGTACTGAAAACAAAAGGATGGCATTCCGTAAGGAATACTCTGAGGAGATAAGAAAATTCCTAACAGATATAACATGGGAAACAGAGCTCAAGGGAAAGACCGCCCAAGACAGACTACATCACACAGAAGTGAAAGGAAGCAACAAACAAGTTTGTCCCAGTCCAAAAGGAAAAACAACAAAAGGAAGATGAGAAACCCATGGTTTAGTCAGAGGTGTAGGCTAGCTGAGCTGCAAAGTAAAAGGGCGTGGAGAAACTATAGGAATAACAGGACACTGGAGAGCAGAGAAAGACACCAGAGTGCCAGGAATGAATATGTCAGGATGAGAAGAGAGGCAGAAAGACAATACGAAAATGACATCGCAAGCAAGGCAAAGACTCAACCTAAATTGCTGTACAGCCACATCTGGAGAAAAACAACAGTAAAGGAACACATAATGAAATTATGGATAGGGGCAGAAGGATTCACTACAAACAAGGTATGTGAAGAACTGAATAAGAAATTCCAGAAGGTCTTCACCTTAGAGCAAGGAGAAATTCCAGAGATAAGAGAGGGAATAGTTAACCAGGAGCCACTAGAAGAGTTTCAGATTACCAGTGGGGAAGTAAGGAAGTTGTTACTAGAGTTGGATGTGACAAAGGCTATAGGCCGAGATGGAATCTCCCCTTCGATACTAAAGGAAGGAGTTGAAGCACTGTGCTAACCACTCTCCATAGTGTATAACAAATCACTGGCAACAGGGGAACTACTAGAAATTTAGATAGCAGCTAATGTAGACCCAATATACAAGAAGGGGGGGATTGACAGGAGGCATTGAACTACAGGCCAATGTCCCTAACCTGCATACCATGCAAGCTGATGGAGAATATTGTGCGAAGAAAGCTAGTGGAAAATCTGGAGCGAAGGAACTTTGTAACACAGCATCAACATGCTGTGTTGGATGGTAAGGATGGTAAGTCCTGCCTCACAGGGTTACTTGAATTCTATGACCAGGCAACAAAAATCAGGCAAGAAAGACAGGGGTGGGCAGACTGCATATTTTTGGTTTGCCAGAAAGCCTTTGATACAGTACCACACAAGAGGCAAGTGAAAAAGCTGGAGATGCAGGCTGGAGTGAAGGGGAAGGTACTCTATTGGATAAGTGAGTACCTAAGCAACAGAAGACAACGAGTCACTGAGGGGTGAGGTCTCAGATTGGCGAGACGTCACAAGTGGAGTCCCGCAGGGGTCAGTCCTTGGACCTATACTGTTTCTGATATATGCAAATAATCTCCCAGGAGGATATAGACTCGTTTCTCTCAATGTTTGCTGATGATGCAAAAATTATGAGGAGGATTGAAACAGAGGAGGATAGTAGGAGGCTACAAGATGACCTAGACAGACTGAATGAATGGTCCAACAAATGGCAACTAAAGTTCAACCCGAGTAAATGCAAAGTAATGAAACTAGGCGGTGGAAACAGGAGGCCAGACATAGGATACATAATAGGAGATGAAGCGGACAGAAAGAAAGATCTAGGAATTGATATCACACCAAACCTATCTCTTGAAGCCCACATAAAAAGAATTACGTCTGCGGCATATGCGAGGCTGGCTAACATCAGAACAGCCTTCAGGAACCTGTGTAAGGAATTATTCAGAATCTTTTACACCACATATGTAAGACCAATCCTGGAGTATGCGGCCCCAGCATGGAGCCCGTACCTTGTCAAGCACAAGACGAAGCTGGAAACAGCCCAAAGGTATGCTACTAGACTAGTCCCAGAAGTAAGAGGCATGATTTACGAGGAAAGGCTGCGGGAAATGCACATTACGACATTGGAAGACAGAAGAACTCAGGGAGATCACTACTTACAAAATCCTCAGGGGTATTGACAGGGTAGACAAGGATGGTACTGGTGGTTCGTAAACAAGGGGACACAGATGGAGACTGAGTACCCACATGAGCCACAGGAACGTTAGAAAGTACTTTTTTCAGTGTCAGTAGTTAACGGATGGAATGCATTAGGCAGTGATGTGGTGGAGGTTGACTCCATACACAGTTTCAAATGTAGATATGATAGAGCCCAGTAGGCTCAGGAACCTGAACACCAGTTGATTGACATTTGAGGGGACCAAAGAGCCAATGCTCAACCCCCGCAAGCACAAATAGGTGAGTATACACACACACACACACACACACACACACACACACACACACACACACACGCATGTGTGTTCCCTCCCTTCTACATACACGCACGCACACACGCACGCTGCCATATGCATTTATATTCCGAAGCAAAATGTGTGGAAAAGAAGGACGGTGGTGGGCTTTGAAGTTGGAGAATTCCGCCGCCAGAGATGACATGACGGTAAAACTGAGATGGAGTGGAGGAGGTTTGGAAAGCTTATAGGATGGTGCTAGAAAGCTTATAGGATGGTGTTAGAAAGCTTATAGGATGGTGTTAGAAAGCTTATAGGATGGTGTTAGAAAGCTTATAGGATGGTGTTAGAAAGCTTATAGGATGGTGTTAGAAAGCATATAGGATGGTGTTAGAAAGCTTATAGGATGGTGTTAGAAAGCTTATAGGATGGTGTTAGAAAGCTTATAGGATGGTGTTAGAAAGCTTATAGGATGGTGTTAGAAAGCTTATAGGATGGTGTTAGAAAGCTTATAGGATGGTGTTAGAAAACTTATAGGATGGTGTTAGAAAGCTTATAGGATGGTGTTAGAAAGCTTATAGGATGGTGTTAGAAAGCTTATACGATGGTGTTAGAAAGCTTATACGATGGTGTTAGAAAGCTTATACGATGGTGTTGGAAAGCTTATACGATGGTGTTGGAAAGCTTATACGATGGTGTTAGAAAGCTTATAGGATGGTGTTAGAAAGCTTATAGGATGGTGTTAGAAAGCTTATACGATGGTGTTAGAAAGCTTATGGGCAGGTGTTGCAGGGTGTTGCTGATCACGGTCCGCAGGTTCACCTTGTCATCACAACCTGCTTGATCAGGATCTACCAACTCTACCTTCTTCCTGAAATCATCAACCGTTGTTCCTCCAATATTTCAAATATCGTTGGAAAAAGGCAGAAAAGTCTGACACGCGTTGATTTTTTACCCTTCAATAATTGGCCTCAACAATAGCCTCAAGGATAAATTAGTATTATTCAATTTAACAATTTCGATTATTCAATCCAAGTTCTCATCGTATTGTAAACTCCAGTACCGTGGTACCTTTTTGTGCAAATTATGGCCCAACGTTCGATGATTTGCCATTTATATATTATAAAAGTTCTCGTTTCAGTCCATTAAGCAAATTTTGAATGCACCGATGCGGTTCCCTTTAGTTGTTTTACTAATAACAATTTAATCAAGGCATTACCATGGTAGGGAATTACCTGACGGACAGGTGTCAGAGAGTGACAGTGAGGGGCGAGGAGTCTGACTGGCGTAGAGTAACAAGCGGGGTGCCTCAAGGATCGATGCTGGGACCCATTCTGTTCCTCATTTATGTAAATGACTTCACTGCAGCAGTTGAGTCTTATTTGTCGATATTTACAGATGGTGCAAAACTAATGAGGGTGATTAAGACATACGAGGATTGTG